GAGCACTGAGTGCCACGGCCAGGCCTGCCTGGGACACCTCCAGGGCTGGGCACTCCAAACCTCCCTGGGCAGCCCCTGCCAGGGCCTGACCACCCTTTCCAGGGACAAATTCCTCCTGCTGTCCCCCCTGCCCCTCCCCTGGCACAGCTGGAGGCCGTTCCCTCTCCTCCTGGCCCTGTTCCCTGGGAGCAGAGCCCGACCCCCCCCGGCTCCCCCCTCCTGTCAGGGATTGCAGAGCCAGAAGGTCCCCCCTGAGCCTCCTTTTCTCCAGGCTGAGCAACCCCATTTTCCCCTCCATTCCAGCAGTTTTTATATTCAAAAGCAGTGCAAGTGAGAGCTTGGGAATTCCTCTACAGCCTCTTTGTCACCCCCACAGCTTGTCCCCCAGCCCAGGTACCTGTGGTCATCGCCTGGTTGGAGGAGATGCAGGCCATGGTGACGGTGTGGGCCGGAGTTTTGTCAGAGAAACCCGCTCCCAGTGCAGCCTGAGACAGCAAAGAGTGCCTGTTAAACCCACAGCTTCTGCTCCACGGGCCAGAGCTGCCTCCTGCCCTGCAGCACACCTTGCCAGGGGAGCTGCAAACAACTACATCGAGTTTTAATTCATTACTGCATCGAGTTCTCATTCATTATTGCATCGAGTTCTCATTCATTACTGCATCGAGTTCTCCTTCATTACTGCATCGAGTTCTCATTCATTACTGCATCGATTTTTCATTCATTACTGCATCGAGTTCTCATCCATTCCTGCAGCAGCTCATCCCCTCCCCAGACCGGAACAGGAGCAGAGGCAGTGCCAGGGCTCAGCTGCACTGTGAGAACACTCCCTGTGCCCCCTACATTTTTTTAATAAGGGGATAAGCTAATCACACACCTCACATTGAAAAAAAAAACCACATTAAAAGAGCCTCCAACTCCTGGGCATCACCTCTGCTTCGCCTCACTGGCAAAGGCCACACGGGAAAGGGCTGGCTGAGGGGCCTCAGCACGAGGAGCTTCAGAGCGAGCACAGAGCTCAGTGCAGGGCAGTGACTCATCTGACCAGCCCACAGCTGCTCCCAGACACCTCCCCTACTTGGGGCACGGCCAACTGGTTGAAAGTTCAGCTAAAATTACCCCGCAGCCCCATCTGACTGGCGGGCGACCAAAGCCAGGGTTTGCATTCACGAGGCCGGAGCTGCCTCGGCGCCTCCCCGAGCCCTTCCAGCCCAGCTCCCACCCTCTGGGCTCCTCCAGAGCAGCAGCAGAGGCTCCAGGGGGTAGCACAGATGCCATCCCTCAGCCCCAGGAGCCGGGAGGATCAGCTGCTCCGTGGGTAACGCGGGAGCTGCGTTCCCTGCCTGCCGGAACAAAGGGCAGCGAAGCCGCTCCACTTCCAGTCACCCAGACCCTGTGCCCGACCTGCCAGCTGGAAAAAATAAACACCACAACATAACAAACTCTCACAGCACCTCTGGGGACTTTGGGCAAGGCAGCATTCCAGTCCAGCTGGTGTTAAAGAGCTGAGTGATCAGCAATTCTTAACAGAAGCTTCCCTTGCTGGGAAGAACTGAGCAGAGACCTCACAGTATTAAAATGAACTATGAAAATATGGTAAATATTATGATAAATGAAAACTATGGCAGATTTCAAGAGCAGGCAGAGTCAGAGAATGACAGAATAATTTTCCTTATAGTCCCATGCAGTCATTTAACAGACAATACTGCACTGCTTCCGACTCACATCACGTTTTAAATGAACCATAACACCAGGAATTTAATTTTTAGCAAGTGTTTGTCATCTTCAGGTGACAGCTGTAGAATCAGACTCACAGGGAAGCGCTGCACTTAACCCACCTCTCTGGCAACATTACTCGTTTTCACCTCCTGGATGACTGTGCCATAAACAATGTAATCCACAACATCCTTTGGGACGTTGGTCCGGGTCAGCAGGCCCCTGAGGAGAGGATCAAAACACAGGGAATCTGCATCACATCACACATAACCTCTCAAACATCCTCCTCCTGCCAGCTTGGCTGGAGAACAAGGCAAGGACAGAGCCCCATCCCCTGCCCCCAGCTCAGAATAAAATCCCTGATGGAGAGTGTAAAAGTGACTGTGGGCTGCAAGCAACCCCAGTCATAACATCACTAAAAAGATGACATAATGCCATCACAGCAACTGCTTCACAGCCCAAACACCCTCCTCCTTCCCTGAAACAGTTCATGGAATCACCATATCCCAGACTGGTTTGGGTGGGAAGGGACCTTAAATGAATCCAGTGCCACCCCCTGCCATGGGCAGGGACAACCTCCCATTATCCCAGGTTGTTCCAACCTGGCCTTGGACACTGCCAGGGATCCAGGGGCAGCCACAGCTTCTCTGGGCTTCCCCAAACCTTCTGCCTTTTCCACAGGACTTTGCTCTGACTCTCAACAAAACAAACCCAGTGCTCATGACCTTCAGCTTTAGTCAAACCCCTGCAGAACGGGAGGGACGGGCAGGGTGACAGAATTAGCTCAATGTCCCTGCTGCTACTGAGTTCCCTCTGTGTAACCCAGATTGTTTTTCCAAGCAATTCTAAGCACGCCCCAAGAGCAGCTCTGGTCTCTGTGTTTGGAAAACTGCAGTTAGGAACCAAATTCACTAAACTTTGCCAGCGCCTCCACCTCTTTGCACCGAGACACATCCACTGCAAACCCCACTGCTTAAGCCACCTGCCACTGTGGAGGTGGCACAGGGAAGATGAAGTCATTCAGAGGCAAGACCAGGGCCTTGGCTTTCCAGCACTGCAATCCCAGTGGTTGAACAAGTTTTCTGAGCCCCCCTGGTGTTCCATTTACTCACTGCAGAGACGCCCTGGCCAAGTCGTGTGGCATCAGATCCGCGTACCTGGGAGGGAGAGGAGAGGCAGAAACTTCAGAGGCGTCAGAGACCAACACAGAGCTGTGCTGGGAGCCCAGGGCAGCAGCAGAGAGCTGGGGAGGCACCAGAGATGCTCCACTGCCTCCCTGATCAAACATTTCACACACGGATTTAGGTTGGAAGGGACCTTCAAGGTGATCTCATTCCACCCCCTGCCATGGGCAGGGACACCTCCCACCAGCCCAGGGTGCTCCAAGCCCCATCCAGCCTGGCCTTGGACACTGCCAGGGATCCAGGGGCAGCCACAGCTCCTCTGGGCACCCTGTGCCAGGGCCTGCCCACCCTCCCAGCCAACAATTCCTTCCCAATCTCCCATCTGTCCCTGCCCCCTGGCAATGGGAAACCATTCCCTGTGTGCTGTCCCTCCATTCCTTGTCCCCAGTCCCTCTCCAGCTCTCCTGGAGCCCCTGCAGGCTCTGCAAGGGGCTCTCAGGTCTCTCTGGACCCTTCTCTCCTCCAGGTGAGCCCCCCCAGCTGTCCCAGCCTGGCTCCAGAGCAGAGGGGCTCCAGCCCTGGCAGCATCTCCGGGGCCTCCTCTGGACTGTCTCCAGCAGCTCCACGTCCTTGTGCTGCTGTTCCCCAGGGCTGGGGGCAGCTCT